TCTGTCAGAGGTTTAGAACGTCGAGACATCTAAAATTACACAATATGTTGTAAAAATATTGTAATTTAAACATTATTTAATACTTACAGCAATTTATTCTTTCAATTTATTGAAATGAAAAACAATCAACAAGAACAATAGGCAATGCAAATTCGTTTATTTATGTTAGGTTATGTTTACTGCGACGGACCAACGGCGCACAGAAGCATTAGTACGGTTCACTGGGCCGCGTTGTCCCGATGGGACCAACACATTTGTTATATGGTGGCTCATAGGAGCACTTAAAAAAAAGAATGGCTGGCTCACGGAGGCATTGATTTACAAAATATAGTCGGCAGCGAACGTGTTAATAAAACTCCAGTATTATTAATGGAATAATATATTACTTGAAAAAACATATTTAGAAGTTCAAAGATATTTGGTTAGTAATTCTCTACTGGTGGCTCATCATCATTGGTACTAGGCCATAACATCAACTCGTTATAAAAAAAATTGTCTTCTGGTATATATACCGCACAAGTTTCTTCAAATTGTTCATTTTTTTGTAATTAATAGAGTTTTTTACTATGTAAGCAGGCTTTGTTGATACATTAGGACAAACTTTTAGGACAGATTTTTTTATTAGAGGAAATTCGTAGAAAAAAAAAAGATGTTTAAAATTGAAATAATATTTTTAAAATTCAATAAAGTATTGCTATTATTTATTTATTATTTATATGTATTTTAAACAAGTTATTCTAAACTGAGGAAATTCCTAGGAACTACCTCCTGGTACTATCCGTTGCAAGATGATTAGGATGGAATTCCCCACATTAATTAGAGACTGGGCCGATATTAAGCACAAAATGACTGTACTCCCTTAATGCTGTAACGAATAGTCACCCTTTAGTCTTTCGTTACATTAGGTTCAATTTTAAAATACATCCAAAGTTTAAAGGTACTTTACTAAATGATACAAAGTAGGGATAGCCAGGTACGTATTTCAATTTTGAGTTGTTAACAATTGGTAAATAAAATTTTAAGCATAATTCTGTGTACCTATTTAAATTTAATCAGTTAATTGCATTTGTAATTGCAATTCAGAATTACAAATTTCTAAATAATACCACAGTTTAACCACAAATATCTTTTTTATACTGTGATAATACGTAAAGCCAGTGTTCATAAGAGATTAGAAAATTTCTTGGAATTTTATTCAGGTAAAAGGATAATGTTTACCTACTTAATATCAAATTGATATTAAGAATGATAAATCCGTAACCATAATACATCTATTCAATACAATCTACAGTACTGGTATAATACCTCAAGAATGTCTATAATATAATAATCTATAATGATATTATATATTTTGTTGTGAGTCTGTAGCCAATAGCGGCTGGAATGGTGCATACATATTAAATTCGATTAATTTTTTGTGGAGAGAGTTTGAATGCTGTTGAAACTTAGGACATTCAAAAAAGATGTGATCAAGATCACCCAGTTTTCCGCAATGTTTGCAATTATCATCTTCAATCATATTTATTTTATATAAATGACTTGGATAACACGCACGTCCAAAGCGTAGTCTATTTTTGGTGGTTATATATTTACGTGGAGATATGGATTCTTACACAAAAAACAACTTGTACAACTATTAAAATTAGTTAAATGTGAAAAAAATTATGTTATCGACAGGTTATCTGAGAATTATGGACATAAAGTATTGTTACGATTTTAAATATTATTGCGTATAAAACTGTAAATACATTATGACTAATCACGTATTTTCTAGATCACGCACCGGCCGAGACGCAGGTAAAAAACCTACCTGACACTATGGGTCCCCCTTCGATATGAAAGCGGTCAACTACGTTTCTGGAAATAGGCCGCTATAAAAAAACCAGTTCGAGACTATTCAGGTCAACTTCCGTCTACTTCACGCCAGATCCTTCCAGATAACGGAGTTTCAAATAAATAACGGCGATTCTCATTGAGCTAGTCAGTCAAAAAAAGAAGATCGCGGATATCGGGTTAAAATTGTATCGAACGCAAATAAATTATTTGTAATTATTAAGTGTAAAATAAATTAGTATAAAATAAGGACTTTTGATAAATTATCGTGAGTTTTAATAAATTAGAATAAAGACAATAAATTAGGACTAATAAAATCATTATAGTATTAAGATTACCTCCTTACTATTGTGTACTGAATCCAATAGAATTGTGGTGGTTTCAATTAAAAAGTAATGTGAGGAATAATAATAATTCTCCTAAATCATTTTTGACTGTTGAAGATTTAATTAAGACAAAATGTAATAATATTACAGCTTATATTTTAAAAAAATATATAGAACATGTCAAAAAACTAGAAGAAAAATACTTACAGTTCCAAAACATTATAAATAGAGTAGTTATAGATTTAAACGATAACGATAATAGTGATACCGATTTAAATGTAGACGATAGTTAACTTTAATTTTTTTTTTATTATTTTTTCACTATCTTAAATATATATTTTAATATAAAAGTATTACTTATATGTATTTTTCTTTTACTTTGTGGGATTGTCGTAATTTTGATAAAATGTATCAGTATATAAGTCCGATGGAAACAAATAATATACCGATTGCGAGAGGGGTCAGGCAAGGATGCGTCTTGTCTCCGACGCTTTTCAACGTGTACTCACAGGTCATATTCAGAAAAGTCCTCTGGGAAAGAAAAGAATTTGTGGAGAAATCGTCAACACCATGAGATTTGCAGATGACACGGTAATTATGGCTGAGAGTATAGAAGAACTACAAACTTTGTTAGATGCAATAAATAGTGAATCCATTCAAATGGGACTTGACATCAACACAGATAAGACCAAATTTATGATAGTATCAAGGAGTCCAATAAATAATGAACAACTAACCCTTGGTGGACAGCAAATAGAGAGAGTGACAAAATATAAATATCTAGGAGCATACATCAACACAGAATTAGATCCAGACCAAGAGATCAGGGTACCAATAGAAATGGCAAGGGCAGCATCTTAAAATTCAAGCAATTGTTCTGTGCAAGAAAAATCTGAATACTGCGCTGAGATTGAGGTTTGTTGAATGTTACGTCTGGTCCCAACTATTGTACGGGGTAGAAATATGGACGTTAAAAGCGCAAATAGTTAAGAAGCTTGAAGTCTTTGAACTTTGCATATACCGGAGAATGTTAGAATTCCATGGACTGCCAGGGTCACCAATGAGGAAGTGCTGAGAAAGATGGGTCCAGACAAAAAATCGTTGAGAACAATAAAAGTACGCAAGACTGCATACCTTGAACACATACTGAGTAATGATTAATATAGTCTTTTGCAGGTCGTAAAGTCGATGGCAAAAAGAGAATAGGTAAAAAGAGGAAGTCATGGCTGCGAAATATTCGAGACTGGACAAACATGACTGAAGATTAATTATTCCACGTTAATGGGGACGGCATAGGAAGAAGATATAAGTCCGACCCTGTATACAACTATACCTAGAAGATTAAATTCGAAATATCTTGTAACGAACTACACAAACGTTTTCTTCATGATTATTCTACGAACATAGCACCACTATCTCAATTATTAAAGAAAAAACAAAAGTGGGATTGAGAAACAGAACCAACAATCGTTTTCGAGAAACTAAATAAGTTATTGACACAGGCTCCCATCCTGATCTGTCCAGATTTCAACAAGAGATATTTTCTCCAAATAGACTACGTAGTTTACGCCAGCTGGTCCTTGTCAAATGTAGAGAAAAACTACAGCGTAATAGAAAAAGAACTACTAGCCATGGTAGAAGGAATAGAGAAAATGCGACCATATATTGAAGAGTATCAGTTTTCAGTCGTAACCGACCACCAACGCTTAAAATATCTACAAACTATAGAAAATCGATCAGGAAGATTGGCCAGATACGCCATGGTATCAGAACAAATTTACAACAACATCGCCCTCTCCTAGGAACCAATAGACACAATTATTAAGAATCAATCTGACCAAAGCATTTACATCACAAAGCCACTAGTTTAATCTACGCCGCAGCCTGGGGGCACCGAAAATCAAAGACAAAATCATGGAAAAAAATTACAACATATCGGGCTCCGCCAAATTAGCTCCCAAATTCTCCTGCCCGTATACTATTCACAAAATATTATCAAAAGTATTTTTTTTTCTTCTTTCATAAGATACCCGCAGAATTACTTACTGTAATTTCATTATTCTACGACTTTGTTGCAAAAAATTTAATTTGAAATAAACAAACAAAATATCCTTTAAACAGCTTCACCGATCGCTTTAAATTTTTTATCATATTTTTAGCACCACAAGAAATGTATGAATTATTTTGCAACTTTGTAAGCAACAAGTAAGAATAGAACCATTTAAAAAACGCCATTTGAAGGTTTTTATATGACATAAGTTTGTTTCAAATGCTTCACTGTTTGCTGATACCTATGATGAAACAAGTGAAAATTGACCGTTTTTGACCTTAAATTGTTTATAACTAATGTCCAAAAATCGACTGAGGAAAACATATAGATTCTTGTTAAAGAGGTCCATACTACTCAAAACAACTGTCGTTTGTCTGGAGGGGTCAGTGTTACAAACAGCTTTTTTGCTTATTTCCCTGAAGAGAAAACGAATAAAAGATGGGTTTGTTTTAAAACAGTCGTGGACAAAATATGTTATAAATTAATATCATTATATTTAGCATTCTTAAAAACAAAATAATAATGGAGATGATATCCTTACTACCGTTAATATTTTTAAATATTAAAGAAGTCCATTTAGTTTAAAGTAGAAAGTTTAATTATAAAGAATTGAAATCAAATAATATATGGAATTTCAAATCTTTTACGTGCATTGTCTTTATTTTAGTGGATCTCTTTTTAGTCTTGGATTAATCTGATAAGCGTTTGAAGTGTAGGATTTTAATACAAAAACTGAAAATCACCAAAGTAATCATATTTACGCAATATGTAGATTTTTTAATATACTAGGCTGAAATAAAAAAACATTTGATGCACGTGACAGTATTTAATATATAAATGGTATTTGTTTATTTTTTCTTTAGTTTAGAAGTTAGTGAATAGAGGTAAGTCAAAAATAAAGTTTATTAGCATTCATTGTCATGAATTTGTCATGATTTTCTTTTTTGATTATTAAAAAATTAAGAAAAACGCCACTTTGTCGTACTTTTCCAATTTATTTAATATTTTAAAAAAAAATATAAGTAACATATAACTTTTATAATATGTCATAGATTCTTAAGGAACCGGCCACTTAGCTAAGTTGTGCTTCTTTGGCTAATGAAATTCAATGTCTCTGCCCCCTTTTCTATCTCTATCTATCTAATTAGCCTTCTTCGGTCCATCTTTGGACATAGGCCTCCCCAATCCTTTTTCATTCTTCTCTGTATGTCGCTACAGTCATCCATCTAGAGCCCACGTGCTTCTTGATATCATCTGCCCATCTCATTTGGGGCCTTCCTCTGCTTCGTTTATATTCCAAACGGTCTCCAACTTATAAGAATTTTGTTCCATCGGTCTTCTTTTCTCTTCTTATCCATTAGTCTTATGTGCAACATTTGTCTTTCCATTGCTCTTTGGGTTTTTATGATTTTGTCCATGTTTGCTTTTGTAGATGTCCACGTTTGGGAACCATAAGTAAGAACAGGGAGTACGCATTGATTATATACTTTGGTCTTAAGATGCTGTGGATATCTTTTGTTTTTAAGAATGTAGCTTAGTTTGCCAAATGCCTCCCATACCAGTCTAACTCGTCTTTTGATATAGAAAATTTATGAACAATTTTCGAACGTGTTAGTCTAGAAAGCTAAAATTTTCGGTTTCTTAGACTGGCGTCACATAATTCACCCGCCTCTTTTCTATAAAGCCGAAACCGGATCAGTTTGATAGAATTACTATTTTTATTGGAAATATGTCACAATTGAAGTATAAAATAAGTTTATCATTGACGTTTCGATTTTCACTTCGGAAATCTTTCTCAAAATACAATACACTTTTTATTATTGATGATTTGTATTTTGAAAACGATTTCCGAAGTGGAAATCGAAACGTCAAATATAAACTTGTTTTAAACTTAAATTGTGGCTTATTCCCAATAAAAATAGTAATTTGATTAAGATGACATACGAAAATAGCTTCAGAACAGTTTTATAGAAATTTTGAAAAACATTTGTCTAAAAAGCCGAAATTTTTAGTCACTTTTCCGATATTATTATATATTTTGAAGCCATGAAAAGTAAAAAGTATTTTAAAATATAATTTTAAATCTTAAAAAACTGATTAAACATTAAAATCTAATAATCTAAAATTGTTGTGAGCACCGACGAGGTACCTATTCTTGACAACTAGAGACAATATTTTACCAGGAACTGCGAGCAACGATATGAAGCAAATGTGTTATTACATCAAACTGCCAAGGCGAGTTTTACTTTGATACAGGATGAAGTAGATTCTTCTGCATATTTTCTTCTTCTGTATATATCTCATGCAGCTTCTATTTCTATGGAATTTAAAGACGTTATTACAGCAGAAGTAAACAGCAATGTTAAAGAGAACGAACCTTTATCTGTAATACGCAGCAAATGCTGTTTTAATGTCGACTCACTAACATGAGTAACAAAGTTACTCATGTAACTTCACTTTCTGTTATAGACGGACTTGTAATAGCAATCGGTGTATAGTGTTCTACTCTTTGATCTTCAAATAAACAGAAATGAAGTATTTCCATTCTTTTAACTGTTCATTTATATTTAATATTCTGTGTCCGTTTTTGTCTTCTAAACTTTGTGATAGTTGTTTCCGTTTGATTACGGCTATCTGTTTTAATTTTTTGTTCAAATAAAATGTATCTTTTTTTCATATTGTTCAATTTTATGCGAGAATCCTCTTGTATTCGTTTTAGTGTTTATTTCTGATTTCTCTTCTTTCATGCATGAGTCTCAGTATTTTTTTTTGTCATCCACCCTTGTTTTCCTTTCTTGTTTTTTTTGCACTTAATTTTGTTTCTTGAACGGTCTTTAATACATCTTAATTCTCGTCCAGTTTTTCTCAGTACCTACTTTCATCTTTGCTTGATTCAACTTAATTTTTAGTACAAATACACTGGTTATTTCCTGTTTTACAGTATCATTTGACATCTTTTCTCTATCAATAGTAACTGTTTCCTTATTAGTCCTTGTAACTATTTTTAATCTCAGTCTTATTTTTTCTTCCAGAATATTGTGATCTGTTAGTATAGCTGCACTTGGATATGTTTTGACTGCTAATACCCAATTTTTGTATGTTTTATTTCTACATATAAAGTCTATTTGGTTACGAACCATACGTTTAGGTGTATCTGCTGTATCTGCTGGTGATCTTCAGGTGTAAAGACGACGCTTAGGAAGTTTGAAAATTGTAGTTGTTATTACTAGTTGCTTTTCTACACAAAAGGTGCCAACATATCAACTCTTTCATTTCGTATTCCCAGACCATTTTTTCCTATGATATCTTTCTGTTTTCCCTTCGTCAATATTGGCATTCTCTTCTTCTCTTCGCAATTCTGCCATAACAATATTGAGCTCGTTTTTCTTTGTAGATTAGATGCTAATACTTTTCTAAATCATGATAAAAATTTTCAATTTATTCTTCTTCATAGTCTTGTGTGGGTGTATACGCTTGTAATATATTCACATTTATTGTTTTTTTTTTGTATTTGTAACATTAGTATCCTGTCTGAGAATGGGACGACATTTTTTACAGCATATCTCTGTCCTTCGTTACAATTATTGCTGCACCATTTTTGTGTTTTGCAGTGTCTGCTCCTGAATAGTATACAATGTGATCTTTCTATAGATACTTTGCCAGACCCTGGCCGTCTCATTTCACTTATTCCAAGTATACTTATATTTAGGCGCTTTATTTCTTTTATGGTGTTGTGAACCTTAGTTCATTATGGTGTTAAGTTAAAAAGAGTAAAATTGAAGGCCCTTATGATCCGATAAGTGCGTTTCATAAGAGTATAAGTATTGATACACTTTGTGTTCACGTTCATAGCTTAAATCGTTGATTGACCAAACTTAAATACAGACTGTATGACTCATCCAGCATGCCATAGCATGGAGCATAGAGTGCCCGTCATTTTTATAACGTGGACATCCCAACTCCATGGCCTGATATATAAGAATGCCCATACATTTTCTATATTATATTCTATTAAATGCTTTTTTAAAATATTTTTGTTATAATGATCGTATATCTTGTTATATTATATCGTTTTTTACATTTGTCACTGTTACAAGTTGGGTAATATAATTCCAGATCGTCATTTCTTCTTTAATTAGTTTTAGCAGTTCTTAATGTCATTGGTATAGGTTTATCCACCAGTATAATATAAAGAAAAATATAACAACTCTCCATCTTTTACAGATTCAAAAAAATGAAGGCGGCTTATATTATTACACTACTACTACCTGTTGTATTAAGTTACAAAGGTAACTTAAATCCTCTTTCAAATGACTTTATAAACTATATCAATAGCAAACAAAGCACATGGGTTGCTGGAAGAAACTTTGATGAAAATCTTTCAATCCAAGAGATCAAAAATTTATTAGGAACAAAAACAGAGAGATTAGGAGTCGCTAAAGAATTTTTACACAGTGAAAATATTCAAGTTCCTGATTCTTTCGATGCAAGAGAAAACTGGAAAGAGTGTTCAGATGTTATCAGCACTGTTGTAGATCAATCATCTTGCGGATCTTGCTGGGTAAGTGAAATGTTTAAGTAAGTAAGACATTCAAATGTAAATTACGATTTTTGGCAATTGTTCATTTAGATTTTTTTTTTCATCTTTAATTGGAATCGCAGATGCTCTCTTATATACCAAATTTCTTACTTTTGTTATATTATTAACCTTTTCTATTATCTCCGAAATTTCATTTATGTGAACTAAAGGCATAAACCATGACTACTTTACAACCGACATAGAGAACTTGGTTTTTAAGTTAATTGGTATTAGTCACTTAAAAAAAAGACATACAAAGCTTTCAAGTTGTTCCTTCAACGTCTTTTGTACTATTACGGTCTATTGTCCACATTCTTTCACTTCCTCTTTCTTCTTTAAGCATCCTACTCTCGCCAAGTGAAAGCTATCATCAGGCTGATTATATTATTATCTACTTTTCTTCTAATCAGTGTCATTGTCATTACTAAATTGACATTTTCTGTCTTTGCAGTTATAAAATTTTTGCAAAAGTTTATGATTTCAGTAAAAACTTTGCTATCGCTTTGATAAATTGAAAGGCCAAATATATGGCGAATGAAGAACAATTTGTTAAAGATGGAACACAACTTCTACATAATACTGAAATAAATAGAGAATAATCAGAGGACAAAGAAAAGAGATAAACGAACTAATAAAAATGAAACACATTCAGAAGGAAACATGGGCAGACTACTTTCGATCCCTATTTGCTAAAGGTGACGATAATGAACCACCAAAACCAGATGTGACCACAAACGAAGAAATAAACATTGAGGAGGGAGAGGTAAAGGAACCATTAGGGAATTAAGAAAATAGAAAATTGCCAGGAGGCGAGAGAATACCGAACCAAGTACGGAGGACCAGATCTGATCAAAGCAATTATTAAAACGGATCCAAAAAATAACAGAACAAAACAGAAATAACAAACAAGCAGCCTAATATCTTTCTTCAAAAAGGGTGACAACTCGAACCCGAAGAACTAGAGAGAAATTAACATATTAAACACAATATCGAAATTAACAACCAAAGTGATAACAAATAAATTAAATGAAATAATAACACTAGCAGAAGACAATAAGGTTTTAGGTCGGGAAGATCTATACCTCTAGGAATAATAATGCCCTCGAATGTTCAACCTGATCATGGATGAAATAATAAAAAAAAAGAACTAAAAAAGAAGACTAAATAGAAAAAAAAAACAACTTAAAATAATCTATACAGACAACGAAATACGAATCTCCAAAACTGAAGATGATATACAACGTATGCTGCACCAATTCAATATAACCTGCAGAAAAAAATAGCCGTTTTTATAGCCATTTAAAAATTCTATTTTATCTTCTCTTAAAACGTTTTCGTAATAGGATTTCCACTCTTCGATTGGAATCAGCTTCATTCTTCAATCTAGTATCTTTATATTGTTTCTATATTCCCCTGATAACTTTCCATGCTTTATTTGTTGTCTGCTAGGTAGCGCATCACTTTTACATCTGAGATTTTCCAATGACTATTCTGTTTAACAAGTATATAATCGATTACAGATTTTAAGTTTCAAGTGAGTTGTGTCCACGTGTACGTATGATTTGTTTGATGTCGAAATCATCCTTTTAACATTTTCAACTGTTTTCAGCTATTTCATCTTTTAGTCCGTAGTTCACATAGGTCGATAAGTATTTCTCAATTATTATTTACAATTTCTTCTCCACGACTTTCTACTATTGGAACATTTACATTTGATCCCAATTGCCATTTAAGTCAACAATTGGAAACACTTTCTTTATGTTCATAATATTTTACAAATTCTTATCAGATCATGAAAATAGCTGTTCTTTTCATCTGCTAAGGGATACAGTTCAGGTGAGTTGGGACATACGCTGCTATGATTACCAAAGAATGATTTTTTATATCAATATCTACTTGTAATAGTCGGTAATTAATTTGGTCCTATGATTTTATGCATTTTTTCAATTTATTTCTAACTGCTAGAAAAATTTCTCCTAGGACTCGTTCCTCTTTTATATGTTCCCACCATATATATGCACGTATCCATCTCTTTCCTCTGTTCCTTTTCCTTTTTTCTTTGTTCCTGATAGAACTACTATATACATATCGATCCGTTATAAGTCTTCAAATACTTTACTTTTGTTGCTATTTTTTTAATATTCCACGTTCCTATTAGTAAATTGCTGGTTTTCTACTGCTAAACTGTAAACTGCTGCTTTGTTAATAAATTTTTCGATTATGATTTTTTTCACAAGTAATTAGCCGCAGACATCCGTCCCAACTCCCAACCAGGACTACCAAATAATCTTTAATCCAGATTTTGAGATAATCCAGGTTTTAATCTAGAGTCCCTCTAGCTTTTTTTGACAATCCAACGCCGAACTGCAAGGCAGCATCTTGTGCAAGTATAAGTAAATCTTATAAAATATTCTTAAATAAATAATAATAAAACCAGTTGCGCCGAAGAGTTTATCGACATTGACTCCGCACAAACAAACGCAATGATCGCAGGACACTGCGAAACGTCACGGGTGTTTTGGGTATAGGTAAATATACCTATCGTCGTTAGGAATGAAATACCTCCAATGTGCAAATTTCTAGTAATTCAGATTTTAAACGATTCTGAATCGCTATGAATAGTTTTACAGTCTAGAAAAATATCCAATGTGCGTACCGATTCCTAACTTCCCTAATGTATAAAAATGCATTACTCCAATGTAACATATTATTAATTGTTGGACTGAAATACATCCAATGTGCTTAAAAAACACATTGGAGCTATTATCTATTATAATATCTGCACATTGGAGGTATTTCATACTTTCATCTGTCAAATTCCTATCCTCAAATTTTCTCAAATAAGCTATTTACCAGTGCAAAATGAGTATTTTCAAGACAAGAACTAAAATAGTTGTACAAAATTCACTTAAGTAAGATCGGCAAAATTCTATCCAAACTTTTGCTCCTATTGAAAATGAAATTTATAATGAAAAATCCAACAACAGGTATGTAAACAAATTCACTACTACGGTTAGATATCTTTCATCTCATTATTGCTTAAATTAAGTAGGTAATAATTATTTTTCTTATTTCAGTTTGCCTGCAGCTACTATATTGGAACAGGAAAAAGGCAAAATTTGTGTTTTGGCGATGTACAACATATTACCAGACGGAATGGCATGTCAGTTAAGGAGCGATGTAACCATATTATAACGCCAAAATGTTTAAAAGAACACTCATTTAGATGTTCTTTAATTACGCAGGACGATAGACTACGAATTTTTAAAAATTTTTGGACATTTACGTCGTGGGAACATAGAAGCACTTATGTTAAAAATCTTGTTCGGGCAAGAGCAGTGCAAAGGCGCCGAAAAGATACTCAAATTCAGACAAACGGTCCAAAAAGAAGAGTGCTCGTGACTTTTTTTGTTTCTAAAGACGGAAGTTACCTCAAGGTATGCCGAGAGTTATGTTTTTGAACACATTAAATTTAGGAGAAGACAAAATGAAACGATGGGTCTCAAGGGAGCCAGCCACTCATGAAATTGATACTTCTAGTGAAAGTCTACAAGATTCCAACATTCAACAAGATTACTCCAAGAAAAATGAGACAAATTTGCAAAGAAAATAATGTTATGGAATGGTTGCAAGATATTCCTAAAGTTCCTTCACACTATTGTAGAGCATCTACTAGCAGAATATATGTTGACAACAGTATCATAACAACAAATAACATGTACAGACTATATAAAGAATGGTGCGATGATAGAAAGCAGTCAGTTGCTCATATCAAGTTGTTTAAAGTTGTTTTAGAAGCAGAGAAAATTGGCATACATAATAAGCAAAGGAAAGATCAATGTGATACGTGTGTTGCACATAAAATGAAGACAATAAGTACTGAAGATTGTGATCAGCACATGTCAAAGCAGAAAGAAGGAAGACGGGCAAAAGAGTTATTAAAAAGTAGCGCAAATTCTGAAAAATTGGTTCTCACAGTTGATATTCAAAGTTTCTTAACGTGTCCAAAAGTATTAGCTTTCCAATCGTATTATAAGCTCAAACTGCAAGTACACAACTTCACCATTTATTCTCTAAATGATGAAGATGTCCAGTTGTACGTTTGGCATGAAGCAAATGGTGGAGTCACTAGCAATGAATTTACATTTTGTCTTATAGATTATATAAATAATATTCCTGCTAACTATCAAACTCTTGTATTCATCTAAGATGGATGCAACTACCAAAATCGAAAAAGAACTCTGGCTTGTGCTTTAAGTGATTCAGCAAGAGCAAAATCCCTTACAATACAGCAGTTATATCTTGAAAAAGGCCATACTATGATGGAAGCAGATTCAGTTCATTTAACTTTGGAACATTACTTTCAGACTCCAATTAATTCACCGATGGATTACATTGCTAGAATGCGTCTTGCTCGGCCAAAACATCCGTATAATATTAAAAACGTAGATTTTACGTTCTTTAAAAAGTATGCTATTGATAGTAACTTTCGTTCAATAAGACCTGGAAAAAAAATGCCAAAGATCCGCAAGTTGTAGATATAAGACAATTAAAATATAGTCCCAATGGAGAGGTATACTACACCACTGATTACTCAGATAACTGGAAGCTACTACCACACAGAAGAGAAAGCCAAGACCTGTCGGTTTATGAAAACTCGCTCTTCAAGACACCTCCTGAAATATCAGAAGACAAGTTCAAACATCTGCAAGACCTCAAATCAGTTATTGAAAAAGATCATCATCACTTTTACGATACTCTTCCTAAAATCAACAAAAAATAATACTTTCGGTGGTGTTCGTAAAAATATCATACACTGATACTACATGTCGAAGTTTGTTTATTTAAAATAAAGATAATACAAATCACTTCACTGTTTATATGACTCTTTTTCCCCTAATAACACCAAATTCAAGGTGTATAGTACTATGACATGCCATACACAATATTTGAAATTCCTGCTATGTACCGGTTCAATCATTTATAATTTCTCCAATGTGCGCGTTTGTAATATTTTTTTTATTAGTTTAATGTTTTGTACTGATTTAAGGAATCAATTTCACCTTAATATCAATATCAATCTTAGTTTGGCCAAAAAAATCAATTACTAATTTAATACAATATAAAATAGCGTTATTTAACTGTTTTTTGTGTCTCCTGTAAAATTAGGATATTTTCACATTGGAGATATTTCATTCCTAACGACGCTATATAGTATGAATAGAACGAAAGTGGATGCATCAAATCATATTAGAGTATTGTTTCACAACCATTAGTGTGGTCAGTATTGTGTTTACAGATATGTTTCGCTTATCATACGTAAGCGGTCCAATAAGTCCTTAGCCTCACCGCCCGATGGCGCCAATAATGCAAGAGAAATCTACTATCGTGTATAATAAATACATTCTAGTAGACGACTAATGTCAAAATTTTAGCCGAATTGGGTTCGTAGTTTTGTTTCAACCGCGTGTGAAAGCGGGCGTGTCCGTGGATTTTAGAACAATGAAAATAGAGCAATATCGGTTGGTGATAAGATTCTTGTTTTCGTTAACGAGGTTCAACGTGGTCGAACAACGGTTTTTGATGAGCCACACCCAGGTGCCCCGAAATCGTCTACCACGGAGGATAAGCATATTTAAGCATAATCCGAAGGATTTTCTACGTAGGTTTCATAACCATTGACGAAACATGAATCCATTGGTATACACTAGGGACCAAGAAACAGTCGAAACAGTGGCAGCACCCGGCGAACGTGCTCCGAAGGAGGCGAAGACTGTTCTAACGGCCGGAAAGGTAATGGCCCCAATTTTCTGGGGTTCACTAGCGGTGATCTACGTCGACTACCTAGAGAAGGGCAAAACGGTCACAGAGCTCTACTATGCTGAATTATTGGACTGATTCGACCCCAAATTGCAGGAAAAACGAGCTCATTTAGCGAAGAAAAAGTGCTCTTCCACCATGACAATAAACCGGTTCATACCTACGCCCCATGAAATCAAATGAAATAGTTTTACACCGAATGAAAAAGATCACTGAAATATCAAAAGCAATAAAAATTCGAAAGTTACATACAATATTTCGGCTATATTACTTCAGTCCTCAGAGACCAAAATGCCACTGAACCTCTAAAAATCATACAAACAAGATGAATTTTGCCGAGAATATTAATTTTGGGACCCAAAAAAATGCAAAAAAGTTTACCACTTTTACCCCCTGGCTTTCTCCTATGACCCTCCTCTCAGGGGGGTAAAAACGCAAAAAAATCGATTTACCAAGAATCTATGCACAGTAAAAAAAGGTTTTAAATAAAAAATGTAGCTGAGATAATTTTAAACAAAAACGTTTAATAGTATATTACATAACGAGAGTTGTAAGAAGCCTATTACATGCAAGTAAAAAAGTTGCGCGCGAGCCGCGTACCGGCGAGCGCAGTAATTTTACAAGCATGTTAATAAGCTTACAACTCAAGTTGTGTACTATACTTTTTCTACCATTATTTTCGTTTATAAAAATTAAATTACCACTATATTTACACTGACAGATTAATAATTCTTAATCTGTCAAAATAACGTCTGTTTATTCGTTTCCATGGTAACTCGACCAACTGACGTACGAGGCTTATGTGATATTACACATTTTTATAAAACTGAAGCGTAATTTTTTTTATTACGTGCTAGTCATTACGTGTCAGTATCTGTTATGATGCATTTACTTAGCATCCAAATAGTAGGTAATATACAATTTACTAGTAAGAGAGTAGAAAAAAGCATTTTTTGTGGGTTTTGGGAAACAGGTTTGAACCAACCATCGATTTTGCATGTCAGTTACGCGGGCGGAATCAATGTTCAATAAAATTTGTATCAGATCGACGGTAAAAATTCGATATCTTTTGATTCAAGTGACCTATCGACAAAAATCAAAATGCCTTTTAAACGTAAAAAGTTTAGCTGTATGCAATTTTTATATTTTGCTGCAAATAAACTCAGATTTTATACAGGTGTTAAATAAATAAGATGGCGCGATTTTTATCATTTTTTATGATTATCACGAGATCAGCAAAATCTGTATCTTTCATTGACTGACCACTATAAAGTTTCGATTACTAGAGCCTAACCTTTAAAACCCATAGTATGGAATTTTAGTTTTGAGTTTTGGCAAAAAATGTGAGGCATTTGAAAAATGATAAAAAACGCTGGATTTAAACTTTCACACAACAAACAATCTACAGCCTTTAAAACTTTTTCTTCAATTACACTAGTACGTTTTTCAAAATAACAAAACTTCTGCAATAAATACATTCAAAACCGTATCCTTAAATGCATTTCCCGTGACGTGTGATCGTTTGTAACGTCATTCAATTTTGCGTTTTTTATTCATATTTTAAATGCCTCACATTTATTACAACTTAAAATTCAAATTTCATGTCATAGGTTTTAAAAATTGATCTCTAAAAATGGAAATTTTACTATAACTATTCAACGAAAGTGATCAATTTCATTGATCTCACGAGAATCGTTAAAAATAGCAAAAATCGCGCCGCGTTAATTTATTTAACACCTTTATAAAAACTGAGTTTATTCTCGGCAAAATACAAAAACTGCATACGAAAGGTGAACTCTTTACCTTTAAAACGCATATTGATTTCTATCGATAGGCCACTTGAATCAAAAGTTATTGAATTTTTACCGTCGAGCTGATACAAATTTTACTAAACATTGGTTTCGCGCGCGGAACTGACATGTAAAATCGACGGTTGCTTCAAGTGTTGTTTCTAAAAGAACGGTTTATTCTACAGAAAAATGCTTATAAACATTCTTGTTTAAAATTATCTCAGCTACATTTTTTATTTAAAACATTTTTTTCTAGGGTATACAGATTATTAGCAAATGAATTTTTTTGCGTTTTTACCCTTGTGCGAGAGAAATTTTATTGGGGAATAAGGGGGAATTTTTTGCATCTTTTTTGGAGCCCAAAATTAATATTCTTGGCAAAATTCAGCTTGTTCGTATAATTTTTGGGGTCAACTCTCTGACGACTATACATATAATGAGACATCCAGAGAGGATGAGCTTCTCCACAGGGCATAATTCAAAAGATCGCCGGAAGAAGAGACCCAGGCCGAAAAAGAAATATGGCTTCTAAATCTCCGAGAGTGGAATCAAGATACATCTGCTAATCTGTTTCGAGTTGCCGTAAAAAAGTTATTATTGTCAATAAGATCGCCAACGTTCGATAATCTGACAGGATACTAAAAGAAGAAGATGATCACACAATGAAATAAAATGTATTTGCATGTGACGTAAGTTGTGAAGTAAACTCAAAAGGCACATCAACATATCACCAACCTTATTTATTATTACACTAGGCAGGGCACAGGCCCTCACAGGGTGCTATCATCCAGGTCAGATGAACCCTGTTTTTTTATAGAGGTGTTATTCTCTTCTCTATCGCCCTCCTTTATAATCTCTTGATGATGAGGCTCAGCTATTCTGAATAAGATAAGACTTAATTATATTTGACGGTCGAACGAAAGCTCGTGATATTGTTTTGAAGCTCTTTTCTTGAGATATTTCAATATTATTTACTATCTTTTTTAATTAACCACAAAAAAGTTTGATGTTTCGATTTCTACTTCATAAATCGTTCTTTAAACACATTTTGAATTAAAATACAAAATACTTCAGAACTATGTCAGAAATGGAAATGACAACGTTAAAATAATATTATTTTAAGCTTAAGTTGTGGTTAATTCCTATTAATGACAATAAATAATATGAGAGCTCCTGATGTTACAAATATTTCGGTAATATATTGCCATTGCTGTTAGAATCTTCAAGTGTCTATATTTCAGTTATGTGAAAGAGACTAGACCAGATTTATCATTTATTCATCGAGTATCATTTTGTTTTTTCATGGATACAAATTTAGTTTGATCTATTTATGTATTTGCTATTAGTTGACATACCATTTGGGACCAATGATAATAAAGAATCACATTCTAGTTGCAGTTTTCGGTATTTAAAAAGATCGGTTTTTAGGCGGTGGCTGCAGCTTCTGCAATGAGTGACAGACGATGCATAGCCTCCGAGGGAAAGCTAAAAGTACCTGTTTCTGCTGAAAATCTATTGTCTTGTTGCGATTCCTGTGGATATGGATGCGATGGAGGATATCCAGAAATGGCATGGGATTATTGGCAAGATACAGGAATTTCTACAGGAGGTCTTTATGGCAGCAACCAGGTAACCTTTTCTATTCATAATAATTTCAATATAGAAGATAAATTATCTACAAACCATGGTTCGACAATTTTGAAAGTAGATTATTTGACTATCCAGGTCGACCATCTTACGAGTTAATATAAAAGTTAAATTATCTATAATTCACGACTAGTAGCAGGAATTATGTGAAACCAAAATTTATATCTAGTGAAACCCAAACCAAGCAAGAATAGAATAGAAATATGCTTTATTGTCACTGAAAATTATTGAACAATTTTATGGACAAAGCTAAAAAATAAATCAGTCAAATAATACAAAAAGTATAAAACAAAAACAATATAGTGAGAAACAGAAAAACAGAAAACCTTAAAGCTGATTGGAAAGACAGATCCAGTAGCTACATTGTAATCATATAAATTCTTTGCCATTTCAAGTTTTAAATTTTCTAGCCCAACTGATTATCAAACTAAGCAAAAAATTACATTTTTCTTGTTCATTAATATTTACGAATGCTTAGTGCTTTATGTGAATATTAGTATTTAATTAACGTAAAAAGGGGTTACATTGAACATTTTCTTCATATTTTGTTGAATAAGTTTTGTATCTGTTGCTCAATCGAATAAAAAAAAATACCACTTATGGGCCACTATAGAAGCATGACTTTACATACGTTAGATTATCTCTTGGGCGTAGCTATGTAAAAATAGCTATAAAAAAGTTGCTGTTCAATTTTACCCCGGGTTCGGGGTAACATTGAACAGTAGTATAAATCGGTGTCTACGAGCCCACAGGTTAGTTATTCGTTCAATTTAATCTCGCCTAGTTTAACCCTCGAAAAAACTAGTGGGGAGAGTTTTGTTTGTTTTTTTTTCTCAATGGGTATATTTATTGACAAAATATTTTTTTACATTCTTTTTTATTAAACTTTAAATTCTTTTACACAGTCTTATAGAATCATATTTCAAACTAAAGAAATTGGTAATTTTCAAGTCAAATGACAAAACATAAGGGAAACGTATAAACGACGTCTTTAGAAGGATTTTAGCCCAGAGTATACCCATCAAATTAGATCGAAAAAACCACTTTTCCGCGGCGGTCTTCAGCTGGAGCTGGCAGAAGTCTCTCAATCTCTAATCTCCATCGGGCAGTTTTTCTTTTATAAGACCAACGAAAAATTTCAAGATCTTTTTGTTTGCGAATCTCACGAGCACATAATCATCGACGACTGCAGCCTCTGTTGGCCTTTCGATCTCCTCGTTCTTTTCTTGGTGCATTTCATCACAAAATGTCTCGAAATCACAATCAGATTCGTCCTGAAGTTCGTAGTCGGAACTGTCACTATCCAATTCCTTAGCAGACTTTTTCTTATTCTTCGTGGGTGGTGCAGAACATCCAGAGCTTTCTCCTATTTCAAAATGTTCCAATCCAATGCTTTTACCCGGTGCGATGTTAATTTTCTTTTTTCTTTGAGTTCTAGCTCTCTTTTTGTTCCTAATACCCTGTAGAAATTGTAAAACTGTGTCATTTAAACTGTTTCCAAAACTTTCATTTGATTCAGTATCATCAGTACCAGACAATTTCTTTAATATTTGATTTCTGTCTAAAGGGTATATACCCGTTGCCCGAAAGCCACTTTGAAGGTTTTCTTCACCAGTTTTCTGCGAATTTTAACATCAGATTTTTTAAAAGTTTTGGAAACATCTTCTTTGGAAGACCAGTTGATCCCGTTGTTAACTTATAATCGCTGAGTATTGCACGCCATTGTTTCTTCAGTGGTGCGAACACCGCGACATCCAGGGGTTGAGCGATATGCGTAGTATTCGGCGGTAAACTCCTGAAGCGCTTCCACAAAACATCAAAGAAATGTTTGATTTTGATTGAGATAATAAACGTTCTGGGTATTTCACCCCTCTTTTATAAAAGCATCTTGCAGACCCAGGATCATCCGATAAATTTGTCTCATCGAAATTGTATATACAATCGGGGGAAACTCCGTCTAGACATTGCTCAAGGTAATCGTACTTGTAAGTTCGCATAGTTGGCTGGAGTTACAATGTGCCAAATTTAAATGTAATCCTTTCTACTCATTCATATTAATATTATAATGTATAATATATTAAAGTTAATGTATTAATATTGGTAATATTATTAAATCTTTTAATACTATTTTTTAATATTAATATTAATATTAAGTAATTAAATATTGCGCCTTGCTTAAAAAAAGTACGAGATAAATAACTCGTTTTTTACATGAAAGTGCAATTTTCTTGCAAATGCCTTGAGAGGGGAAATTTCCAATATAACACCAACCAAAAGACAAAAATATTAACTTAGGTACATGCAATCATTATCACTGCTTAGCGTATTTTCATGGAAATCAACCGCTGTGCTGACTAGTATTTTTTTTTAAATTGTGATGAATAAATAAAGTATATATTAAATAAAGGGTATTTTAAATAAATTTGTAATATTTTATGCGAAAAGAAGAAAAGACTCAGTTCCGAGTCGTGAGCGTATTCGTTATATTTTCTTTAATTGTGTTAAGCTACTCGGATGTAAGTCGTTGTTATAATTATTCAAAAAAATGAATTTACAATATTTTTTATTAAATCAAATGAGAAATGTTATAGCAAATTAAGAACTAAAGAAAAAAAACCAATTTTCATTTCCTAAATAGCAAATTGTTTCTGAACACTTAAGATTAAAACTTCCAAATAAAATTTGGATAATATTGTAAAGGCTTTTATATACCGAAATTAAATTAAAAAAGAACCTGAAAAAAGTGGAAAAATAATAAAAAATTCCCAAATTTAAATATATCTCGAAAACAAAATACGATCTGGAAAAAGAATACCGGAAATGTTTAATTTTTTTGAGTTCTTCGATTGTGTAGTAGGCCTTCAATTTCAGTTTTTTTTTCAACAATACTCGAGTATTCCGATTAAGTACTCTCAGCCTTATAAAAATTTCCAAGAAATTAATATCGGATGAAGTTTCAACAAGCGAAATGAAAATCCTAATATTAAAACAGCATTATGACCAGGTACAATATCTGACTGTTATGCAAATTAGTAGGTAATTAGAATTAGAAAGTCAGTATGGGCAAAACCAGCTTATTCAAATTATAGGTACCTACCTTTAGTCTTGTATTGAAGGATTTTAATTTATTACCCTTAGCATACGTAAAGATATAAAAAACGAGTTATATTTATCTCGTACTTTTTTTAAGTAAGGCGCAATATTTAATTACTTAATATTATTATTAATATTAAAAAATAGTATTAAAAGCTTTAATAATATTACCAATATTAAAAACTTTAATATATTATACATTATAATATATGATGGAGTTTTCTCCGATTTCCACCAATTGTTGTGGGGAAAGCTTATTAAATTCCTTTCCCCGTGCGTGTACAGTTCCAAATATTTTAGGACCATGGACTGTACAAGAGTGTTTCCTTCGATATATACAAGCAGAACTTCACGGCGCTGGTTCTTTATGTGTTTGATTTAATAGGGGTTGTACTTAGAGAAAAATAAGCGTAATTAATTGAATCTACACATTTAATAACAAGAGAATATTTACACAAGCACTAATACTAAAGAAAGAGTTCGCTTTAAAACATTGTCCATTGCTATACCGGCGTTTTAGGGGCGCGTGAGCTATCGCGAAAACAAATACACATTTCACTGCATTTTGGCGGCGAAGAGAGAGCTTAGGTACCGGCTACTAGTACCGAACAGCTTGAGACACTAGTCACATCTGCGAGAGATTTTGAATTGAATCTTTACCTAATTGCCGACAAAGCGGCGTCGGTTTTACCACTTTAAACAACCCTTATAAGCTATTTATGGCACAAATAGTTTGCAGGCAAAAAGTACAGTCTTTAACATAAAATCCAAACTAATATTTGTGAGAACTAAAAATTATACTAAAATTAATATAAAATGTTGTTTTTACAACATACTCGCCCCCGTTGAAGCGCTGGCTTTAACACAAATAAACAGATAATATTACGACAAGAGAGCATGGGGAAGAGAAAATACACTACAATTCTAATCTTATACTAACTTAATTTAAATCGTCATTGGGTAGAGGACACAATTTGGTAATAGAGCGCTTGAAGACTCCATCTTTAGTTTTGACCGAGGCAATTCTTACTCTCCCATCCTTTCCTGGAAAGACCTCAATCACTCTTGCTAGTACCCAATAAAGAGGAGGAGTGTTGTCTTCAATCAACAAGACGAGATCGTTGGGTTCTAGGTTCTTATGCGGGAGAAACCATTTGGGGCGATTTTGAAGTCTGTTCAAATAGTCGATAGACCATTTTTTCCAAAACACTTGTTGGAGTTTGGACAAATGCTGCCATAAATTTAGTCTGTTTTCGGGAATGTGGATCACTTCTTTTTCAGGGAATGAGGTGAGAGATTGTCCAATCAAGAAGTGTCCAGGAGTGAGATAAGTAAAATCAGAGGGGTCACTTGAAAGGGAGCAAAGAGGCCGGGAATTGAGCACAGCTTCAATTTGAACGAGGACTGTGGTGAATTCTTCGAAAGTAAGCTTAAGATTACCCAGGAGTCTACGCATATGATGCTTTGCGCTTTTAATAGCACTTTCCCAAATACCACCATGATGAGGGGCTCGAGGAACTATAGTTTTCCAGCGAATATGGGACGAGGCCAAAAATTCTTGAATAGAACGGGAGCTTTCCTTTTCCTTTAAAAACTTATAGAGTTCAAACAGCTGGTTACGAGCACCAAGAAAGTTCGTAGCGTTGTCACTGAATATTGTCTGAGGGAGGCCTCTACGACTAATAAAGCGCTTTAGAGCGAGAATAAACGTCTCTGTAGAGAGGCCAGAGACGACTTCAATATGAACAGCTCGAGTCGACAAGCAAACGAAAAGAGCAATATACGATTTTATTAAAGGAGCCTTGCGAAGTTTGGAAGCCTTTATCTGAAAGGGACCGCCAAAATCTAATCCAACATGAGTGAATGCTCGAGAGGAATTTAAACGTTCCTTTGGCAAATCTGCCATAATCTGGGTAGCGGGTTTAGCACGAAACTTAAAACAAACCATACATTGGTGAATGACCTTTTTGACTTCTCGTAGTCCATTTAAAGGCCAATATT